GGAAGCAGAGAAGGGAGAAGCTGGTGAGAGATAAATCCTTGCAGGCCATTTGCCTAGTGATAAGCCTCTTCATATCAGAACCCATCTCTTAAGAGCAAGTCAGCTATAAGCCCCCATAATCCATTTACCTTCCAGAAGCCCCACCTTCCAAAAACCATAATATTCCATGCTGAACCATAAAAGATACATGCAATCACCTTATGCAAAGTGCATTTAGACCAGCTCTAAGAGCTGCCAAAGTCCCAACAGTTTCAGCATTACTGAGAAGTCCAGGTCCAAAGTTTCCTTTGAGACTCAAAGCAAACTCTTAGCTATGAACCCTTTTAAAAAAAATTAAACTCTGCCAACATATAATGTCAGAGGGTAAACATTCCCATTCCAAATGGGAAAAGTAAGGACACAGAAACCAATAAGACCAAAGCAAGATTGACAAACATCAATCTAGCTGCATGTCCAGCACCCACAGCAAGCTGTGGGGACATGTGAACTCCTAAAAGTACCTGTGGGCCCATTCCTAATGGCACTGCCAGTAATTGCAGCACTCACAGCTATTTTTTTTTGTCTTTTTCCTTTTTACCGGTACCAGGGATCGAACTCATGACTGCCTGCTTGCAACTCACAGCTATTCTTTTGGGCTGGTTTTGTTCATCTCTTGTGGCTTTTCCTCAACAGAAGTTCCATATTATTGTCATTTACTTCCTAGATCTGCACTGCACTTTCAGTTTCACTCTCAAAGCTGAATATTCTGCCCTGTCTGACCTTCCAGGCCTTCTTCTGAAATCTAGGTGGAAGCCTCTATGACCCTACAATTCTTATATTCTGCATGCCTATAAACTGAATAATGCGAAAGTCTGCTGCTGGCTTGAGCAGTAGCCAAGTTCCCTTGTATCAAGGCTGCAGAAGTCTCCAAGGGCCTGGATGAACTGAATCCCAGTAAACAAATTTCCCAGGCAGTATTTTCTTTCTCAAGCAGAGTCTCCCTGTGGCTCTCTTCTCCAAGCGAAGTCTTTCAGGTTACAATTTTGAGCCTGTGATGGGTGGACCTGACTGGTTCTTCTCATGCTCTTAGGCATCTTTCCTATTGTCCTGTGTAATGTACTTGACTTCTTTTTAATGCTAATCTTTTCAGCAACCAAGCTTTCCTCTGCTCTATCTTTGTGGGAAATTTCTTTCTGTCAGAACTGAAGACTTTTAAAATGGGCTTGTTGCTTGTGTTTTTCACTATAAACCTGACTAACAGCAACAAGCAGTATCCATATTACAGCCTGAACATTGAACTGCTTTGAAATTTCCTCTACCAGATTAATTGTTCTGCTGCCCTTAACCTGAGTCTTCCACAAAGTCTCAGAACATGAGCAAAATATGGATGAAATTTTCATCAGACATATATTTTCATAACATACATGGTCTGGAGTCCAGCTGCCAATGGAATATTTATTCTCAACTGAAACTTCTTTTTTTCCTTCAAATTTTAATTTTTATTAATATGTATCTGCAGTACATGATTACATTCATTGCAGAGAGTACATGATTACATTCATTTACATGTACTTTACACATGTTATTTACATATGTAAATAATACATATGCAATAGTACATGTAAATAACACATCTTAATTCTTATTAATGTCCCATTTCCCTCCTCTCAATCCTCCCTCCCCAAATGAAACCTCTTGAACCTGGTCCTTATCATCTGTATTACTGTCAGCATTCCAGTCTTTGAGCTTTGAGCTTTGACTGGAATCTTCCATCTAGCTCAACTTATAGCATTCTAGGGCTTCTCTAGCTTTCATCTCCAACCTTTCCAAACTTCTCCAACAAATAAATTCGAATGGCATCTCAACTATGTGGTCAAGTAGCACCACAGGAATGACCCACTTCTCTAGTACCAAAATTATACTTTCATCATTGCTGAGACACAGTGCCCACCACCTTCAAATTAAAGGAGAAGTTTATCTTGGCTTACATTTCAGTCCATAGATGGCTGGCTCCAATGCAGGAAGGCATGGTATAGGAGCATGGTGAAAGAATAACTGCTTAACTCATGCAGACAGGAAACAGAAAAGAAGAGCTGGAGAGGAAAGTAAATCCTTTTGTTTTATTTTACTCTTTTGAGATAAGGTCTTGCTTTGTAGTACAGGTTAGCCTTGAACTCAACTTTGTAGCTCAGGCTAGACTCCAACTTTCAATCGGTGCCCCTGTTCACCGCCATTGCTAAGATTATAGGCCTCCATCACTATGCCCAGCTGAAAGTAAACCCTTCTAGGTCATGCCTCCAGTGACCTACCTCCTAGGACTCTACCTCCTAAGAGCTAGTCAGCTATAAACCCGGTCTATGAGTATGTGAGGCTTTCTAGGTCCATCTATATTCGTCATAGAGTCTCTGATAGTTCCAACTTGTGAGTCCTTTGTGAGTCTGGTTCTTCAAAAATTATTTCTTGACAGTAAGTCTTGTTCTGCTTCTTTATTGCTTTTAGATAGTGTTTTGTTTTATTTTGGGTTTTTGGCAGTACTAGGGATTGACTCCAGAATGTTTGCACTAAACTATATCCCTATCCTTTAAAAAATGTTTTTGTTTTGGGGCTGGGGATTTAGCTCAGCGGCAAAAGCACCTGCCTTGCAAGCAGGCAGTCGTGAGTTCAATCCCCGGTACCAATAAAAAAAAAAAATTACTTTGAGACAGGATCTTGCTATATAGGTTATACTGGTCTCGAATTCACAATGATCCTCCGGCCTTTGCTCTCCAGTGCTGGGATTACGGGTGTCAGCCACCATACCCACCCCAGGCCCCCAAGTTGACACAGGATCTCACTGAGTAGCCTGGGCTGGATCCTCCTGCCTCAGCTCCTACCACTCCTACATAGTGCTGGTATATTTTCTATTGAATACCATATGTCCTATGTAGGAAGTGGTAAACATAAGGTAAATGGCATTTATACCTGACAGGGACAAAGCCAGTCTGTTAGTAGTTGAGCAGAGTTTGAGTTTCATTGCTTCTAACATTTGCTTCAAGGTACATAAGGCTTCAGACGCTCTAGCAATAGCCTGCTAATACATTAGTATGGGAGTGGGCAAGGGAGAGTGGGGTTTGTCAGTGTTTCAGCTTCACCCTCAGCTTTGAGTAATTCCTAAAGTCTGTGCACAGAAGGGCTCTTTCTCCACCTCATTCCTCTCCCTGCTGTTACTTATTACTTGGCGCTATGTTTGTGGGGAGGTGAAAGAGGGCTCTTATTTCTTCTGTTTCATCCTCAGGCTTAGCACATGTCCTTGGCTACAGGGATGTGGCCTTGTCAGAATTCCTGTACCCTTTGTCTCCGTGGAAGTCAGACTCTGCTTAGGTCAATGGTTGATCCTGGGAAAGAGAGAGATGTGTTGTCTCTTCCAAGTGTGGCAGACCTATACTCTGCAGGATCCTGGGCCCAAGAGAACTGAAGGCAACCAGGGGCTAATGACTTGTGCTTCTGCTCTTCTCCTAGAAGCAGTGGATTTTTGCCTGGTTTTGCCATGAAAGAGTCTCCTACTTCCTTTCACAGAGGCAAAGGGTGTTTTACCTTGAAACCCCTTGCCAGTCATACTAGAAGCAGGAGGGTTTGCTGCATCCTTGAGAGGAGTGTATGGCAAGAAGGCATTGTTTAATGCTTGTTCGTCTGCGGCAGCCTATCACCTCTTGCACACCTGTGCCACTGAGGGGGACCCTGGCTAGCTATCTGACTGCAGTCTCCTTGGCAGTGCTCTGTGGAGGTCTGCAAGTGGATGCAAGCTTCATTGTGTCTACTGCTCCCCATTATTCTCAACCAAGAGGCAAGCCACACCCAGTCTTCAAAACTTCTGTTTTGTAATTTTAGCTGCTTTCTTCTTTTTTGTTCCTGTGGCTGTTAACCCTTCCTCCCAGGCTCTGTCGAAGATGAAACCATCTTCAGGTCTCACTCTGTTTGGAGGGATTTTGTACTCTTGAAGATTAAATTCCCTCTATTAGCTTAAGACCTCAGCTTCTCAGTTTTGAGCTGCATAGAATGAGAAAGCAGTATAGTCTTTCTTATTTCATTTTATTTTATTTATTTGTTTTGTGTGTGCTGCTGGCAATCAAACCCAGAAGCTTATGCAGACTAGGTAAATTCTCTACCCCTAAACTGCACCTGCAGTCCAGCAGTATATTCTTACCACTATGTACATTCTAAAGTCAAGCAAAACTCCAAAACGTGCTTGTTTATTTGTTTGTTTTGTTTGGTTGGTACTGGGCACTGAACTCACAAACTCTTGCTTGTCAGGCAGGCACTTATGCCAGTGAGCTAAATCCCCAGCCAAAGTGTGCTTTTGAAATTGCAGCCCAATATTTGCTCCCTTTCATTATCAATATTTTGCTTACATTTTATCCCTTAAGATAGGAAATGGTTGTGTCTCCTTCTTAGATCCTGCAGGTCATAAACAGGAGTTCGGAGAAATCAGATATATCCAATACAGAGTGATAGGAATCTAGTACTTTTTCTACGCAGAAAATCCTTTCTTGCGCCACAGCTTCCTGCTTGAAGAAATGAGTGTGGCCATTGTACCTGTAAGGTATTGAGGATATCTGAGCAGCTACAAAGTCCTTCACCTCATGCCTCCCCTGCCAAGAGGTTCAAATGTTCTCATGTGCTTTATCTGTCCTTAAGCCATCATGTGACACAGGAGCAGATGGTAGCCCTTGCCTGAAAACAGAAGGGAGAGGTCTGGAAGGTGAAACTATCAGTCCTAACCCCAGACTCTTTGACTCAAATCTGGCCCCAACCTAGGCTGTTGCACTATGCTGTGTGCTAAATATAAGGTCTTCTGGGCAAAATCACAAACATCGCCACATTCATTTGTTCAGAGTTTAAGTGATTCATTTTGTGATTGGATCCTGAAATCTAAGATGGTCTGGCTTTATAGATTAGAACAATATCACAAATGGGACCATGCTCTTTAGGAAATGTTCTATATGAGCATGCCTTTAGGCCTGCTATCTTTTTGTGTTCTGCAGCTCTTGTCGGTGCCTGTGGAGGAAACTACTCAGCCATGACATCTGTGGTCTACTCTCCTGACTTTCCTGACACCTATGCCACGGGGCGGGTCTGCTACTGGACCATTCGGGTCCCAGGAGCCTCCCACATCCACTTCAACTTCACCTTGTTTGACATCAGGGATTCTGCAGACATGGTGGAGCTGCTGGACGGCTATACCCACCGTGTCCTGGTCCGATTCAATGGGAGGAATCGCCCACCTCTGTCCTTTAATGTCTCTCTGGATTTCGTCATTTTGTATTTCTTCTCCGATCGCATCAATCAAGCCCAGGGATTTGCTGTTTTATACCAAGGTAAGACATTCTTACTGAGGGCAGGCACCTCAGGACATTTGTGTCTCAGGCTTCTCTTTTCCACTTGGATGACTTTTGAATCTTGAACAGTTCTTGTTGAGTACAATGAGACAGGAGCTACTGACTCAACTCCAGATTATTCCAATGCACAGCACATTCCCTACACTGCATTGAACAACTTGTTTATGTTTCAGTTTTGCTATTTTAGTAGTTATAATGACAGTTTTCATGGGAAGGCTAAAGGAATAACTAAAAGAAGGAGCTAAGACTGGCAGAATTGGAAGGCCTTTAAGAGACCATTTGATCTACACTCACCTCTAGACATCCCAGCCAAACCCAAAGACTTATTTACTATTTTTTCCAACTCTCTTAAAGTGGAGTCACACCCTGTACCCCTCTAATGTGAACATGTGTGCCAGGCACAACTCTGCCAGCATCCAAGAACACATGTATTGAGACATAGCCTTTGTCCTAAATCACAAACCCCAAGAAGGGTTTAGATGGTGGGTACAAACAATAGTTAAGGAGAGGTCTGCCCTCCACATGGGGCAGTCTTGAGGAACAGGTTAAGTCTATAGATAGGAAGGAATGGAATCTTTAAGAGAGAGAAAGATAGCTACAAAGCAGAAAGTAGGGAAACCAAAGCATGCTCAGGTGTCTGCAAGGAGATAAGTCACTTAATTAGAAGTTGACAGCCCCTATCTTCTGCCTCCTACAGGGTAAGAGCCAGAGCCTCACAGGTTCTGCTTTGGGGCCAGAGGAATCAGTGGAAGTGATTGCACCCAGAATTAAATCAAAATAAAGGTCTTCTTTTCATGACCAGCCTCCCTCTTCCTTCACAGCTTTTCACTGTTTCCATTGGCTTTCCCTCATGAATCCCTTTTTATCTTCTAGCCATCAAGGAAGAACTCCTGCAGGAGAGGCCCACTGTCAACCAGACACTGGCTGAGGTGATCACAGAGCAGGCCAACCTCAGTGTCAGCGCTGCCCACTCCTCTAAAGTTCTCTACGTAATCACCACCAGCCCCAGCCATCCATCGCAGACTGTCCCAGGTAGCAGTTCCTGGGCACCAGCAGTAGGGGCTGGCAGCCACAGAGTGGAAGGTAGCGCTCTTGGTGGGTGGTTACAGAAACAAAAGTGCTCTTGGGTCTTCTTCTTTAGAGACAGGTTGAGTTCTGGCTGTGTGACCTCTAGCTGAGCCAGTGGAACTGGAGACGGCTATCAGTGATGATTTAGCCTAGAGGTTCTCACACTTATTCCCTAACTCGCAGAAGATCAAGGAGGCAGGCCTCTCCAGCACTTACTCTACATCATTGGGCCCAGTAGGACTTGATAGGTCACACAGTTCACTCCTCAGATGAGAAAATTGAGACCACAGATTTTGTGTAACCATCAGTGGTACCCCCACTTTGATTCTCATCATACTAATTGTACTGTCTCCCTCAACCCCAAAGAAGTTTCTAGAACAAGGCACTGAGAAAGCCAGAGACTCCATGCTTAGCCCAGCTCAGCTGCTTCCATTGCCACCTTTGCTTACCCACCTGTGCAGAGCTCTTCAACTGGATCTGCACCTCTCAGCTGCAGACCTCCTTTGGAAATTAAAGCACAGTCAGGATCAGTAAACACTGTCTTTTGCAATTGCAGGATGGACAGTATATGGCTTGGCAACCCTCCTCATCCTTACAGTTACAGCCATTGTGGCAAAGATACTTCTGCACGTCACACTCAAGTGAGTATAAGAGACTGCCTGATTCCAGGAAGGGGAAGGCTCAGCATTCCTTTTCTCCTATGCTTCATTTGTCTGGGTGCACTTGTAACATCAGAACATGATTCCAAAGCCTTGAGTCCTAAGCAACATAAGGTAACAGAGGTTCCTCCTCCTCTGCAGAGTGAAATGTACAACTGGACAAACCTCACTAAGGTTGGAGGGATCATGTGTGCTCCTGTGTCCAAAGGATATGGTTTCAGGGAGGATTGAAACAATCCTGGCATAAATAGCAACAGTTTCCATTTTTTCTACTTGTGCTGGTTCCTTATAGAACTTTTTTATGTAAGAGTAAAGATTTCTAGGACAAGGTCATGCCTCTTCCTTAGGCCTTCTAGAAACTGGGAAACAGTCTTGAGAAAATTCTAACATTTAGTATCTGTTGGTAATTATTTTTAAACAATTATTTAAGTAACTTATACACCCTTCTCCTTCAATTCTGATCATATTGGGAAAAAATATTTCCTTTCCTTATTTTTCTGATTAGGTTTAATAGTTCTACCTTCTAGGAAAGAGCAACTATATATGCTACTGATACTTGTTTACTGACAGAGCAAAGTTTGTTTTTATTTTTACTAGACCCAAAGTCTGTCATTCTTGAGGTTCCTGGTCCAGGCTCTCTCCATTAGAAAGCCTCCCTGATGTTCAGTAAAAGCCCTGGCTCTCTTCATTAGAAAGCCTTCCTGATGTCCAGTAAAAACCCAATTTCTTGACATTTTCATTTACCATACATTAACCACACTGTGATAACCTTACGTAGACATCTGCACCCTAGACATGAAATCCTTCAGCAGAAATATTGTCCTTACTATTGTTTACTAACTCTCACTCTCATGTCTTTTACACACACACACACACACACACAGTTCCTTAGTACCTGTGGGACTCTGATTCCAAGACACCCCTTCCCCTAGTGTATACAAAACTCCTTGGCTACCCAAGTCCCTTACATAAAATGGCATAGAAATGGCACATTATTCTCTCACATGCTTTAAATTTAAATCGTCTCTCAATTACAGTGGATTTCAATGACTAATACGCTGTCAATGCTATGTAAATAGTTGTTATACTAAATTGATTATCAAAGCCGAGTGTAGTGGCACATGCCTGTAATTCCAGCACTTGGGAGGCTGAGGCAAGAAGATCACTACAAATTTGAGGCCAACCTGGGCTACAAAGTGAGTTCAAGGCCAGCCTGAACTGCAAAGCAAGACCCTGTCTCAACAAAATAAAAAAAAAAATAACAGTTTAGGAATAATGACAAGAAAAGCCTTTATACATGTTCAATATAGATGCAGTTTCTTTTTTCAAATATTTTCCCACACATACCAGGAGTTGAATTCAGGACTTACACTGTTCCACTGAGCTATATCCCAGGCCCTCAAATATTTTCATGTATGGTTGGTTGAATCCACAGAAAGAGAACCTGTGGATTCAGAGGACTGACTGCATGTATATGTTTTTAAAAGTCACAATTTCCTGTCTTCTGGGGAATCTTCTCAGGCATAGTCCTGTCTACATGTTCCTTGCAGCAGAATACAGGTCACTTTCTGTAGGTCCAGCATCTCTCAGCACGGCTGAGACCGTACCCTTACAAAGGGTACCTAACTCCCTTTTGACGTTGAAATCCCTCTGTAGCTTCCTAGCCTAGCAGCTTAAAGGGTTGCAGAGCTGGAATTAGGCAGGTTTCTACTTCAAGCAGAAAAAGGTTGCCTTTATCCTATTTTAGCTAAGTGCGCTAAGATAGGGCATTTGTTTGTTTGTGTGCTTGTTTAAAAAAAAAGAAGAGAAATTTGAAAACTCATAATCTCCCAGCTCAGCCTTTTCCAGACTAGAATAATTCTGGCAGTTAGAAAGTTTCCTGTTGACAAATATGGTGGCATGTACCTGCATTTGCAGCTACTCCAGAGGCTGAGGAAGGAGGATTGCAAACTTGAGGTCAGCCTGGGAAACTTGGTGAGGCCTTGTCTCAAAATTTTGAAAAAGGGAGTTTAAGGCTGAAATATAGCTCAGTGATTGAGCACTTGCCTAGAATGCATAACGTCCTGGGTTCAGTCCCCATCATACAAGGAAGGAAAGAAGGGAGGGAGAGAGAGAAGGAGGAAGGGAGGAAAGAAGGGGAAAGAAAGGGAAGAGACAGAGAAAGGGAAAGAGAGAAAATAAGTAAGTTAGTTCCATGTTACTCCAAGAAGGAATCTGCCTGCTGCACTTCCTTGATGGCCACATTACATCTGTACAGTAGTCCTCCAGATCCTTAAAGGAAGCCGTTAGGTTCTGCCTAAGACCTGCCTCACTGGACGCATTCTGTTTCATAGGTACAGATGCCTCATGAGTTGAAAAATTGTATGGGGTGCTTTGTTCTGATCCATTTGAAACATTAAGTTGTTTTTCTTTGACAGATCCCATCGTGTTCCTGCTTCAGGGGACCTTAGGGATTGCCGTCAACCAGGGGCTTCCGGGGAAATCTGGAGCATTTTTTATAAGCCTTCTACGTCAATTTCCATCTTTAAGAAGAAGCTCAAGGGTCAGAGTCAACAAGATGACCGTAATCCCCTTGTGAGTGACTAAAATCCCATCATGCCTAGGACATGAGGTCCTCTTTGGACTGAAAGCAGCCAGGTTCAACCTTGCCATGGTTCTCCTCTAACAAAGACCAGCTCTTCCCTGCCCCCCCATCTTGAGACTGAGAAGGAGCAGCATGCTGCAGGGGCAGGGGAGCCCGGATTCCTCTTGCTTCATCAGCTGCACTTGGGACAGACTCAGGGCCCAGCATCTAGCCCTCCCTGCATCTTTCTCTGGTCTAGCAATGGGGTGTCAGCTGGGGAGGCCAAGATGACAGAGATGGTGGCAGCTAGCGTTGGGCTCAGGTACATTCTAGATGACTGCTAGGTGGTGGGTAGGTTTCGTGCATATTGAGTTTTTCTGCTCTGTTTTGTCCACACACAGATCAGTTTTCTCTGGTCTGTACAGTTTGGGAGAGGGCCAGGCTGGAAGAATTCTCAGGTCTCTTGAGGGCTGGCCTGATTCCACACAATTATGGACTCCTGGGCATTAGCAGCCCCAAATTGTAGAGGGATGGTGCTCTACACTGACTCTGGAGCTTTGCTGTCTGAGTGTTGGACTAGGAAGGCTGTAGTCCAAAGGGCCTTAGAAAGAGCTAGTGACCCCCATTCATGCCAAACCTGATGCCTTCCACACACATGCTTTTTTCTGGAGATATCTTTCTGTAACTCATTGAGCTACAGAGCAAGTTTGAGGGGTGGACATAGGAAATATCCACTTATTTATTCCTGTTACAGAGTCTGCTGGAAGTGTTTATAGGCACTCAGTAATTCCTTTGGGAATTGGACTTTTTTTGGTGGTGAGGGGGCAGTACTGGGGATTGAACCCAAGGTCTCACACATGATAATGCTCTACTATTGAGCTACATCCCCAGGCCTTTTCATGTTTTGAGACAGACTGTCACTAAGTTGCCAGGGCTCACCTTGAACTTGTGATGCTCCTGCCTCAGCACCCCCAAATAGCTGGCATTATAAGTGTATACCACTGCACCCAGCTGTGAGTTGGATTTATTTGGGCCGGCCGCAGGGCTGCTCATGGTCCTGTGGAACCTGATCAGGTCTTAGGCTCTCTGTTTTCTCAGCTGACTCTCAGTTCAAAACAGGGAGGATAAAGACTGGCATAACCTTTAGGCAGTGTTGTATAAGACATGGGGCTTGCAGATCCTACTTTAAAAGAAGGTTAAAAAAAAAATCACCCTGGGACTGTGTGTTCTGCACTTTCTTATTGGAACCCAGTAGGATAATGTGTGATTCTGTGGGGAAGGAGAGAGCTATTACCCTTGGCCCCATGCCACATTGTTCTTCACATAGAGAGGTGACCTGCCCAGACCCGGGTGAGAAGGGAGGGTTGGGAACTAGAGATCCTCTAAGGATAGGCCTGAAGATTGAGAGCTCCAGCTGCAGTGGCCACTGGTTGTGGGAATAAATCTCTCATTTAGAGGTCCCACCATCTAGAAGCAGGCTTTGTCAATAGCAGCTGAGAAGAGCCGCTTATGACCCTGGCAGCATGGCTTCCTAGAGGCACTCAAGCCTTGGTGCTTGTGTGCCTCTGCCCTTTCAGGTGCCCTCCTTGGCTCTGAGCCTACCTCCCTCAGATCCCTAAGCCACTGCCTGCTGTGGCCTTCCTGGGATTCTAGCAACCCATCTGCGCTTGGCTGCTCCCAGGAAAACAGAATGTTTAGTCTGCTGACAGAGGTGAGATTTGGCAACGTGAGTCCAGGAGAGACATTCAGAACCAGTAAGTAGAGAGGCATTAGTGAAGAGAAAAGGGACAGTGTGTCCACAGATTGGCAGAGCACTGTCCAGGCCCTATGCAAAGCTGCTGAGGACTTGGGGCTGCTGGGTGTTGTCTTCCTACTTTGATCTAGAAAGGGTGTTCACCCTGAAGCAGCTGTTCACAGGCCCCTGAGTCCAGATACAGAGGCCTGTAGCGCAATGGGACCACTGGAAATAGACTTGACATGTGCAGTTTCCCCTCTAGGCTATTCTGGGCTTTTGTGGAATCTGTCAAATGCTGGTGTCAGGTGTGGGCAGTCACAAAGAGCCTGTGCTGTGAATAACTCCACGCAATGTGGAATTTATCCCTGGGAAGGGCTGGCATGGCCAGGAGGATTTTCTCAGTTGCTTTGGGCTGATGCTAATCACTGGTATTGGGCTTCCTGAAGGTCACTCACCCACCCTGTCACCTAGCCTCCTCACATCTCAGGGCACAGGCCATGCCCCAGCCTAGGTGTTGTCTGAATGAAGCTGGAGTAGCCCTTTCTCAGAGACTCCAGGAAGCACAGGTGATGCTCCTGCGTGGCCTGAGCACAGTCCAGTGCCTCCAGGACCAACATCCTCTCCAAGGAGCAGTCCCAAGAAACCCAAACCCACCTCAAGACAGCATGGGAGAAGGAGGGCTGCAAATTAACCTAAGCCAAACACCATAAACGCCTGGCCACAGCCTCAGAGCATGTCCACAGCCTCCCTGTGGTGAGTAAACACCTGAGAAGTAAAATGATCTCAGCTGAGCTTTCAGGAGCATTGCAGGAAAAGGCTCTTGACCTTTTAAGAAACACCTTTAGGAGAAAAGAGGGATTGGAAGGAACTGGAAACTGGTGACTTCAAGGAAGTAAATAACAGTGCAGCAGAAGACCTTGAAAGAGGAGTGGAGGGCCCAGAGCCTTTCCAGAGGGGATATAGCGCAGCTGTGCACCGTCCTCAGCCCTGTGCACTTCAGTGCCACTGGCCTTGAATGTGCATCACCCATGTGTTGCTCCTGTGATGACTGCACCTCAGCTGGCTGGGGTCTGGCTACCTGGTGTCTAGCAGTGTCTCACTGCCCTTGGTCCCTCAGAAAAGGCTGCCCTGCTTGTCCAATTCATTGCAAAGCAGACACTAAGCAGGAATGAACCCCTTGCCTTCCCCACATCAGTCAGGACCGGGTTGAGGGCTTCAGCTTCAGACTTCAGTCAGCCAGCAGCCCACAAAGATCAAAGCACTTGCAAGAACAGCTGTCCTGGCCCTCAGGTTGAACCCAAGGCGTGCCTGGGCCTGGTGCCACCCCAGTCAGCTCAGCCAGGAGCCTGTCTGACCCCGCTTGGATCTGGATCTGGCGGCTGGTCTGACCAACAGGGCACACAACAGGCCACCACCCAGCCCCTGTGGGTACCATGCACTTAATCTTAACAAGCACTTAGAAGTGGACAGCCTTCGAGACCCAGCCTCCCAGAGCCAGGCCAGACCCACTCCACAGCTGAGTCATCTGGGGCCTTCTTGGGTTTCAGATCCCCTCTTTGGTTTTGATGTTGGCTTTGTTACTACCTTGGGAGTTTGTAACACTTTTGACCGTTTTCTCTGATGTCTTTGTTTACCTTCCTCACTGTTCTACCTCCTGGCCAGGTCCCTCCTGCCCTGGTGTGGGATGTTTTTCAAACTTTCCAGCTCTTGCTGGCTCCTCTCAGGCTGGACAGCTCAGGGGAGACAGATCTCTGGGCGCCATAGCACAGGCTTCTGCCTTGAGGAGCAGGATACCAGGAGGGTGGAGGAGGGTAATCAGAGGGGAATCTCCTGCTTCAGAAGGAAAGTGTCCTAGGAGGTCCCTTTCCTGCCTGTGCAGGGGCTGCCTTCCCTGAGGTTCACATGGCGCCAGGACCTTCCCACATCCAAAGTCACTTCCCAACCGGGATTTTGACTTTTGATGACAAGGCTTTATTTGTAAATATGCTCTTAATATGCAACTCTGAGAATAAAATAGAAACATCATGTATTTTAAAATATAAAATGAAGTGTGATGCACTGTATACAATTTAATATATATTTTTAGGATTTTGTTATTTAAGAAAATGGAATGTAATGGTACTTTTACAAAAGAGAGAAAAATGTTATTTTTACTGTCTGGAGAAAATAAATATTCTCATTGTTGTAGAAACAGTAGTGGGCCCTGGGCTGTTGTTTTTCTAAGAGCTTGTTCAGAGACCACATGGTGCACAGGGAAGTAGGGAAGAGATTCTTAGCGCTTCCTGAGCACCAGGCCTCGCCCCTGGCTCATTCCCCCCCACCCCCACCCCGAGCATCTCCAGGTTTTCTCAGCTCTTGTCACTGTTTGAGTGTAGCTGATATGAGCTAGTCCGACAGGGACTGCCCAGTCAACACTCTGCACTGCGAGCACTTTGGAGGTCAAGGTTTGCCCTGGCCTTGAGCCAGGCCAACCTCAGGTTATCTACCTGGAAATCGTAGTCTGTACCTCTGGAGGCTGTGAAGATTAGGAGAGACAATGTAAATGTATCTAATACACTTGAGTGATTATCCCAAGTGGAGTTGGCCTTGCCTCTCAGAGCAACCTGTACTTCCTTTCCGCCTCCCTTTCTCCCCACCCACCGCAAGGGTGTCTTGCGGTGTTTCCTAGGCTGGTCTTAAACTTCTGGATTCAAGTGAGCCTCCTGCCTCAACCTCCCAACTACAGGCAAAGGCCACCATACCCAGCTCAACCTTTTGCTTTTTGTAACATTCATAGGAGCTACAGGTGTGTGTGGCTCAATACACATGAGGAATTCTACTGTTGGATGGTGTTTATATCCTAACGTTCCTTTCCAGTGGGTACCGCTGCCCCTGTTTGCTGCTGAGGGAATGGGCTCAGCAAGGCCGTGTGAGAACTCAGTTGAGAGCACAGCCCTGGAGTCAGACTACTAGGATTTAGATCCCCCTTCATTAGCTCGAGGCCTGTGAGAATAAAACAAAGACTTGGAAGGGCTGTAGTACAGCAGTGATACAGATTCTAGTTTAGAAAAATTTCCTTCGTGCATTCAGTAAGCCAGATGGGAGCAGGGTAAGAGCTCAGACAAGGAGCAGGACTAGGCTGGGGTGCGGCTTCCCTGAAGCCAAGGATCCCTGAGCACAGTTTCTGACCTGACTGGTTCAGGCCTACACACACTGCCATTTCTTTGAGTTCCAATTCCAAATTTGAAAGACCTGATTTGGCCAGTTAGTCTCCTAAGTCCAGCCAGGTTTACTAGGTATAGGGATGTAGGATAAAAGAGAAACAGGTCAGTCCAACCAAAAAATCCTATCACCTCTGACATGGATATGTTTCCAAGTGTAGTTCTCAGGGTGCTTGGTCAAAAAAAGGGTGCCTGGGCCCTGCCCCAGACACCTACCACACTGGCCTCCCTGGGAAGCTTCCTAGATAATTCCAGTGCCCACCAGGGTCTGACCACTGCTTTCATTTGTCTGAGAAATCTGGCTACAATCATCTCTTTTGCAATGAATTGTCTACACATAGCTGTACGAGCGAAGTTCCTCTATCTGCCTCCTTCGTCCATGCAGGTTTGTTTATTACTGGGCTGCAAGCGCTGTTTCAGCTCAGAGATCTGTCACAGGACAGACAGGTGTATGGCAGGGGATGTGTGCACGACACAGCAGATACCCAGGTGCTTTTCTGCAACAGGCGTGCGCCTTCCCATCTCCTCCTGTCCCGGCCCAGCTTCCACTCCCAGCCACCCTTGCAGCAGGACAGCCGGCACCTTTAATGTCTGGTTTCACTTGAGTGTTTACTTTCACTCAGACTTCCTTCTCTTTCCCAGAAGCTCTTTCCTTCCATGAAGGAAAATATTTTTAATGGCAGGAAATGGCTGGTGGAAAACAAACAGGGTGGCCTCGCTGGTGAATTTCTTAGAGACAAATCGGGCAGCAACAGAAAAATAAATAAATGTGGCCAGAACCTTCAGCTGTTCTGTCAAAAGAATCCCTTTTGGGTTATGGGACAATGGTTCCAGGAAGAGAGCACCCCAACCCATTTGCATGGACTTTAGGGACCACTGACATTTTTGTTTGTTTTGCTTTTTGAGACAGGGTCTTGCACTATAGTTCTACTGGCCTTGAACTCACAGTGATCCTTGGTCCTCAGTCTCCCCAGTGCTGGGATTACAGGTGCATGCCACCAGGCCCACTTTGGGATCACTGCCCTTGACATTATATTGTCAAACTTACCCAGGAGCCAGCACCAGGATAGCAGCAGTTTCATCCTTTGTCAGGTAATCAGAGCCTGTTCTTTCTGTGTGGAGGGAAAGGGCTGCACAAGGGTGACCTTGTCTCTAAGCCTGAGAGTCACATAGCAATCTCCTCTCCCCACTGGGCCATGTGTGTATAGAAGTACAGTCTCTTGGATTCAGAGAACTGGAAAGCTTTTGTTCCTCTGTGGCAGGGTTGGGTCACCACAGGGGGTTGTTTTTGCTCAGCTGAAAGGGGCACTTTGGAAATAAAATACTTCACCCACAAAAAAAAAACGTAACATTTGCCTGTAGCTGGAAGTCTTCACTTCTGGTCTCCAGCTGTTGTCTGGAGCCACCAGGCCCCTGCTGAAGGGGTCCACACCCTGCGCCTGGAGGTGGGCAGTGCTGGGATGGGCTAGACTCGTCCAGGAGACCCATCTCTAGGACATACTGGCTGCAGGGTTGCCCCATTCCCTCCCATTGGGCCAGGGAATGAACCTATTAGCTCGGGGTAGCTGGGCTGGGGAATGTGGCTCCAGGAGAAACACTTTAAGGGGAAATGAGGTCCTCACTCCTGAGAAAAGCCTGAAATGGTACAGGGTGCTACCGAAACTGCAGATTTCAATTATTTCACAATTAAGGGCATCTGCATTGGCCTTGTTTAAATGAGGCCACTGAGTATATAAAAGCATAAATGGAGGCCTGCTACTTTGTGTATTGATTATGTTTAGTTGGCTAACTTGCTTAAATTGTTAGCACTAAAAATACACATGAGGAGCACACCAGCAAACAAGCCCAGTCTGGGAACCAGCACCATGCGTGAGCCACTGCCAGACCAGGAACAGCAGGTCCTAAGCCTCTCCCCATGAGTCAGCGCTGTTCATAGACTGAGAGGAGAGAGAAAGAAGGCACATCAGCAAACAGGCCCAGTCTGGGGACCAGCACCACCACCGGACTGGGAAAAGCCAGACCCCATACTAACGCCAACCCCAACCCTACTCCATAAGCAACTTACCTGCAGAAACACAGGATATGATGGTAGCTATGGAGGTGAAATGCAATTGGATGCCTGTGGTGCTTTGGTGTTTCACTAACATTGCAGGCCTAGGGCGAGTGGGCTGATCATAGGTTCAGAGGATAGTGGTATGTAGTGTGGCATCTGGGGGGAATCTCCTTTTGAAGGTTGTAGCCATCGTTGATTCCCTATGGTCTCGTTTTGAGGTCCTATAATGTTTTCATGGTTTTGTTGGGTTGGGTTTTACTTAGTTTGTTTTATGTTAAATTCAATGGCACGAGCAGCTATTTCAAAGATAGCAAGATATATTATGATAGCAATTTTGGATTTTACTATTGACTTGTTTTGAAATCCTTTATTGCATTCATGGTTTCGTTTTTATTGTTTCTATTCTGTTCTGTTTGAGTTTTACCTTGTCTGAAGTTATCTGCAGCTATTTTGAAGACATCAAAATTGTTGATTTTGTAAGGGTTTGAAGTTCTGTTATCTCTTACACTGGTTTGTTTTGATAGGTTTTATTCTGTTTTATCCTCTTTAAAAATAAAATTAAAAAATAGAAAAAATAAAAATATACATGAGGAACATGCAAGAGAAATTCAAATCTCTTATTTAACCAAAATAGCAGTTTGCTTTTCTTTACAAGGGTTAGAACATACAACTTTGCACTTGCTAAATCCCTGGCTCTTGTCTTTCAGGGTTTGCAGTAGAGAATGGAAACCAGGAAACCTTGTACACGCTAACAAAGCAGTCTGCCACTGGGCCACACTCTAGCCTTTTATTTATTTATTAATTAATTTTGATGCAAGTCTCACTGAGTTGCTCCTGCTGGCTCAAAGTTGTGATCCTCCTGCCTCAGTCTCTTGAGTAGCTAGGATTACAGGCATGTGCTACTATTAGAGATTAAAAAAAAAAAAAAAAGGAATCGAGCCCAGCGTCTTTGCACTGAACTACATTCCCAGTCTTATTTTATATTTGAAGACAGGGCTTTGCTAAATCACTAACTTGCTGTTAGAGGTTATATCTAAATATACCCTGTACAGTCAGTGTTTACTAGAGAAACAGCTATAACACAAGATGTACAAATATATAAGAATTTACAAATGTGGCTCACAGTGGCCACCCACAGAGTCAGATGAGGAAACGTGCAGAGGGTGTCTGCACATGAGACCAACAGATTCAGTTGAAGGTCTGGAGCTAACTGTTTTCACCTGTGTGAGGCCACATCAGGAAGCCACTGGGTCTACACTGCAAGCTGAAGAGTCTGCACTGGAAGCCAGGAGATGATGTCCAAGGTGACAGCAAAAACTCCCTCAAAGAAACAGAAGCATATCCATCCTTCATTTCCCCTTTATACCATCTATGCAACAAGCTGCACTAGGCTGTGGAATTGCTAAACCAATTTAATTGAACTTCTCCTACTCAAGTTGATATAATCAGTTAACCATTACAACCCCCAAAATCTCATATGCTCATAGGTAGGGCTTTTGGAAGACAGCTGGATCGTGGGAGTGATGTTGGATTGGTCCAGTGACTGGTTTAGCCTAGTTCTGGATGTGGATGGTGGGTTCACTGAAGAGGGAAGACCTACACTGGCTGTGGGTGGCACCAACCAACAGGCTCATAGCCTGAATAGAATAAAAAGGGAAAGAAGGAAGGTTGGCTGCCTCCTGCCTGCCACGCCATGGACTGTTCCTCCTCTGCATGTTCCTGTGTCATACTGCCCTGCCTTAGAACCAGCAGACTCTGGACTAAAATCTATACAAACTGTGAGCTAACATAAATCTTTCCTCCTTTTACTTGTGGGTGTAAGGTATTCTGTCCCAGTAAAGAGGAAAGTAACTAGACAATAACTCAGGCTGGACTTGAATTTACAGTCTTCTTGCCTCACCTTCCCAGAGTGCTGGAATTACAGGTGTGTGCCACCACAC